TACATCTTTCCTTATTCATTGTTGCTTCGTTTAAAGTCATGAATAACGACACTTTATTGAAATTCAACAGTTTAGGAGCTTCCAATGTTAATAACACATATTATTGTTTACACAATCTCGTTGTTGTTTAGGGCTCTTAAACGGTTTAATACATGTAAACAAAGCCGCTATCATTGAAGAAAGTTGTACAGGTGTCGTAAGTGTTGGCGTAAGTGCTTGATGTATCCTGACCCAGAGTGAAGAGTTGTGGTAGTGTCGCCAATAGTTGTAATATTTTCACATTCAATCCAATTGTTTATGGATGGGTCGTTATCTTAACGTCATTAGAAACTTGCAAGTAGACTACCTTACCTGTGAAGAGTGTGAGGGCCACCTATGGCACCTCTCGGGACATGTGTGACATTATCGTCACTCTGGCACCATAGCTCCTCCCGTATGTGTATGTTCAAAGTAATATTTCCCTACGCAACACCAATTGTCCTCAAGTACATGCAGCTATATACGCCCACACTGAGCGCACGTACACACGAGGCCACTACGGGCTCACCATACCCCGTGCTGCTTGGGACTTTTTGTTCCGATTAGCTGGATCTTAAGCAACAACAACAGCGCACGTACATATGCCAGGATGCACGGGTGGGCTCATTGACAGCCACGTGCTTGACGGGGGAGAGCGCCCCGCGGCACGGTACACACAGCACCCTCACCAAGACACTAAGCGCGTGTAATTACCTAAGTGTAGTTACAGGATGAGAGCTACGCTCGTGGTGTCCCGTCTTCCCAGCACTTTTTGTCATATAACGCTTTGAAACTACTGACGGTCTTGGTGGTGTGTACCACCACGGGCGCGCACAAAACATGGATGCGGTAAATTTAACAAAGCGCAGATCTCCATAACAAACTCACCAGTAATTTAGCCTTCACGTCAATACGAACTATTGAAACACGCGCTTATCCACACAGGGACACCACGAGCGTAGCGCTCGTCCTGTAACTACACTTAGGTAATTACCGGGCCCTTTAGCACAGTAGTCTACGTCCTCGACTCGCAACCAAAGGAGCCGGAGTCAATCCCAGGGCAGAACAGAAACGGTTGGGCACGTTTCCTCTCACCTGATGCCTCTGTTCACCTAGCGGGAGGAGGGCAACTGTTGGTGGTTGCACCCTGGGGAACGTAATTAGTACTGGGCCTAGGCTCTGGGGGGGGGTACCATCGATAAGCCTAAGTATAGACTTCCGGCCCCCGACAATGGGAATTATTATGTGACTATACTTAAGACCAGCCGGGTCTAGCAACATTGGGTCGGGTCGGTAATAAGGAACCACAGTGAGGCGGGACCAAAGAGCCAGAGCTCAACCCCCTTAAGCACAATTAGGTGAGTACATGCACACAGCCACCATCTTTGCCAGAGGTCCCTCGACAGTTGAGTGATGGTTGAGGCCATGGAGCTGGAGCTCGATCTTTCTCAAGAAAATCCACGAGGAGGATTCGAACCTATGCTCAGGGTACTCCCAGGCAGACACTCTAGACCACTACACCACGACATGGTAAAAGTTTTGCAACCTGAGATTCAACTGAATCCTCTATTGTTCCTGAGGCTTCCACTGAAGCCTAATCAGGGTTTCACACAATGCCTTCATACACTCTGGCCTGAATATGGCCTGCCAATACTATTATTATTGTTGTAATTGTTATATATGTGTTACTTAAAATTTAATCAGTTAGGTTTTATAATTAATCAATAAGTTTTAATCAAAACTCTGCTGTTTGTAATTTATATATATATATATATATATATATATATATATATATATATATATATATATATATATATATATATATATATATATATATATATATATATATATATTTATAATACAGAGATATTCACACCAAGATGTGTATCACACTTCTTGGTGTGCCTACACTGAGTATACTCTAGTCCTGGACTGTGGTCAGGAGAAAGTATACTGCTGGTTGGTCAGTAGGCTATTGTGGTGACCCTTATTAACACTCCAGAAGTTGACAGGCCTTAAACTCAACACCAAACTCGTACTGTAGGACTAACATGAAGGCATTTGATTTCAGGGAAACGCTTTAGAATACACTGAATTATTTTAAGGAAATTCGGGGAAACAGTTACATGGTAATCATTAAGAATTGTGACGCACTGGATATTTAGAATTGTTGTTGTATAGCAGCGCATTATTTTCACGCATTCAAATTAAATTCCTATAAAGGCAGTATACCTTAGTGTAGTGTTGCTACAGGTGTTGCAGCAACTCTAGTCTACCATCTGATTAACAGTTGACAACTTGTGTTGCGCAGGTCGAGAGAAGCTGGAGCTGGGGGAGGTGCGGATAAAGGTGGTGCTGGAGGCTGACGGAACGCAAGTAGAAGACCCAGAGTACTTTTGCACCCTGCCAGAGAATACAGTCTTCCTCTTACTCAGGCAGGGTGAACACTGGTACCCTGCAGGAGTTGAGGTGCTCAGACAAGGTAGCTACCGAGTCTTTCTTCCTTGTTGGCTTAGTGTCATGTTATAGTCACTTGCTGGCCATCTGCTGGTTCAGATTTCAGTTATAAATTTGTGCTTGTAGCCGTTGATTGCAGGTATTTATGTTGTGTAGGTAAACGTAATCTCTGATTTTAGTTTAATAACATTCCAGGATTATGTAAGTAGTTTATGCGAGGTAAGGTCACTGTTTACACCTAAGGTCAATGTACACCTAAGGTCACCGTGTACATTCTTCATACAGGATGATTAACAGATAAACGTGTCACGGGAATAAAAGTTGAGAATCATGCACTCAAGTCCTCCCACCTTCCACAGTATGTTGGACCAATCACAGCATGCACTTTGAGGTTATTACTGTGGCCACCAGCTGAGGCTTCCCTCTCTCACTGGTCAGCTGGGACGTGTACTAGGCTGTCTTTGAGTGCCAGGTCAACTCCTTCCCCATAATTTAGTACTAATTAACATTTGTACACATAAATTAGACTCAAGCTTAGGTACTTGACAATTTTAATAACTGTAATGTTACATTTAGTGATCACCAGATAAAAAACTAATTATTTTTTCACCAAAGTTTTGATTTCATTTTGTTTTCCAAATTTTGTCATTGTTAACCATTTACCTTTGTTTTGTTATATTCTGATGGCTTCAGTAATGATATTCACCTAATATATGTAAATGGAACAATATTTGTGGTATATGTTCCATTGATTTTCTTTATCTGCACTGGTTTTTCAGCCCATTTGTTGATCTTACATATATTTTCAAATCCAATTTACCATTTCCATGTTTTCTTGGTAATTGTTTCTTCTTCTATGTTAGTAAGTATTGTACTTCTTAAATCAGGTGTCAAATTACTGTGTTCCTCAAATTTTATACTCAAATAGGCAATACAGATGAAGGAAGTGTTGCGGACAAGTAGGGAAGGAGATGCATCTATTACGACGGATCAGTATATAAATTCATTATATTTTAAATTTCATTATTATACAAAGTTATATAAGGAAATTACTAGAGTAGAACACAGCCTATCTGAGAATATAAAGGAGCCATTAGGAGCAATGAGGTGTACAAACAAGGATATATTTGTCTTCCGGTAATTCAAAATACACTCGCTTCTTGTTTTGTTAAATGCATTTTGTCTTAATGAACGCCAGACGTTGTGGCTATAGTTCAGTTCTCATATAACTAAGGACGACTCTCTATGAATGCAGAAAAGGTTACTGAAAACACAAATTTCCCAAGACAAGTTGAGAACCATGATGTCATAATTGTGCATTTACAGCTGTGTATAGAAAGTTTCAGAGCCTAATATTGAACGATCATAATATTCAAGAGTTATGACCCACATTATTCAGATAACTTAGAATACTTTTAAAAATCATATTTTTATCATTTTTACCACAAAAAATGTGGATATACCTTTTTGCATCGTTTATAATACTGATTCAGGTGTGTTGTCGGGGGATTACGTGTGACAGAAAGAGACAGGTGTGGTGTTATGAGGTTAATATCGAAAATTGAGGCTTGTCTGAAGGTTTGAAGTTAGTGTGAGGCTTGTGATATATTTTATAATAGGTATGAAATTATAAAGCTAGTGTGGAAATGAGATGATAATCATGCTTAGAGGTGAGCATAATATCTTGGGATCTTGTCATATTCGGGTGAATATGTCATAATATCTCATAAGGAAGTAAGTATAATATTTTAAGACGTGTGGTGTTAGGTGGTTATGATACAGTAAGGCTGAAGTGAAGTTTAGTAGTATTAAGTAATAAAGCTACAGATTTTGTACTGAAGCTATGGATATTAAGGCTGCTTATGTTGTATTCCGGCTGCGTATGATGTATTGAGGCGTTTGGTTGTGATGGAGGCTGATGATTATTATTAAGGTTTTAGTTTATTATTCATTGGCCATATTAATGACAACCATATTTTGCTTATGTGGATATTTCCTACCCTATCTGTTCCCATATACCTCCAGCCCGTCCTCTCCAGTTGCCACAACGGAAATAAAATGGTGTATTAAAACACCCGAACCTAACCTAACCCAGCAACCTACATATAAAAAAATAATGTTTCTGATCCGCTTTGATTTATAGTACATCATATTTTGTCCGTTGGGGATTACAGCGTCAAAATGCAATGTATTATTCGAGAGGACAGGATGGGTATGCCTTAGGTTGGACGCTATATTGGCACTGATGGTTGATGCTAGTGAATGGCTGTGTACCGCGGACAACAGATTCACTGCCTGTGTTGGAATCGTTAGTGTGGTAGCCAAGTCCCCAACTCGGTCTACTTTGGATCCACCTCTAAGGACTATAAAGTGACACGCAGATAACTAGATTTCTTACGGGCTATTCATGTCCGTGCCACTTCTTGGGTGGCTTAATCTTCATCAATCAATCAAGGTTTCGACCAGTTGCCTCCTTGCAACTGGCCCGCTCTACCACGGGCTCCACTGCTCATCAACAGGCCTCCCTACCCAGACGGAAACTACACAGAACTTTCCCAGAAGTGAAGTGTTGGCCAGTACCTGGGGATTATGGAACGAATACCCTGGAAGGCGCATCCGGCAGATCCCACAATCAGAGTTAGACAAAAAAAATAATTGGAGAGGCAAAGTCAATTAATCTTACGTCAGGTAGCATTGCAGAAGGAAGTTTACCATTTTCTGGTTCCAATTCAGGCAGGAAACTGTCTATTTAGTAGAGAATTCCAACTCTGAACGTTAACAAACGTTTTGTCATGACCTACACCAAGTTGGGGAATGTGGAAAATGGAGTTTTTTATTTTATTAAGTTCGAGGGAGACAGGACGTGGATATAAATTACAGCTACAAGCATTGCTGAAAGCCTGGGTTTGGCTTCTTGACAGGCAATCCTACAATTAATAAGCATTGTAAGGTAGGGCATCACGGCTCTTTGAATGAGTATCAAGGTCACGTGACTGTCGATGAGGATCAAGGGAGACAAATGAGCTTTTCGTGGCGATACAAAAAACTTTCTCTGGGAGACAGACCATAAGATTTGTGTAGGTTGATTATTAAGAGGCTGGAGGTGGGTGTTGATATTACTGTTTTAAACTGACTAGATGAGCTTGCAAGTAACATTTTAATAAGATGAATGGCAGAAAAGAGAATTGAAATTGGATAGTAAACAAAATGGCATTGTAAAATAATATTTGTATCCACAGAGTGTAATATTACAAATAACTTTATTATTATTATTATTATTATTATTATTATTATTATTATTATTATTATTATTAAGAACCAACAATAACAAAAAATTTATGTCAAAATACCAATTGTTAAAACTAAAATACTGTAGTTTCATTTTGAATGGCGTGACTCCGTTTTGACTACTGCCTTGAAATACCTGCAACTACAAAAAGCATCCATGACGTATGTGCCTGCATACTATACACGTTCCTTAATACAATTATTGGAGGCACATTTTTCTCTAATTATTGGGATATAGTTCATTCAAGGAATAGGTACGGTATAGATCGCAAATGGGTACTTTGTCACTAATGAGTATGAAATGCACGGTATATCATTTACAGCCCGTCCTCCAAAAATGGGGAGGTAAATGTAACAGCACACGTGCAATTATTTACTATTCATAACAGTCAGGAATTGTACTTATTTTCATTTAGTATTAAACCGTACAGTTAAATATATTGTGAATATTTGAGTTTACCTTAAAAGCTGTATTATAGAAAACCGCGACCTAACCTAAGCTTCTTAGTGTTTGAAAATAAGCATTTTATTGCTTCTTAATTACAATTAGTACTTAACCTATAGCTATATTGATGTTACAGTTTTATAAAACTAATAAAATAAAACTAAAATATATCAATAAATTGTGAAGGAACTCAGGATATTTTCAAATTTTGTATAAAATCTCTATTGTCTAATAAAACTGAAAAAGAAATTCCTGATATTTAAAACTTGTGTATAGTGAATTGAAACATGAAAACTTCATCCTAAACTTCTTAGTGTCTAAACAGAAAATGAGGAGAATAAATGGGGAGGTCAAAGTAACAGCCTTTGAAGTGAAAATGTGTACTATGTATGACAGTAATGAAATATACTTATTACACTTGGTATTAAACCGTACTGTCAATTCGGAGGATGGGTTGCTCATTTATGGGTACGGTATAACAGCAAAAGATATGGTATATCATTAATATGGCCGAGTACGATTGGTGTTTGTTAACATAGTAAAAATAAATCTTGAAAGTAGCGTATGAGTCAATTTTTAGATATTGAGACTGCTAAGAAGTTATTAAGCAAAATTTATTTATTTTAACTGGGTTAATACTTCAATCTAGATATATTATGAGGAAGATAGGTTGATATAAAGAAGGTTTGGTTATATGTGGAAGGGGTTAAATATGTGTTTATAAAGAGTTTTTATACAGTGAATTGTGTGTGATTTCTTAAGTTTGTTCAGTCACACACACTGTCTTAATGATTCGACTAAACATTCTATGAACATTGCTGTATTATTATTTTATTTCTATGGTGTACAGCACTAAATTTTGTGTCTAATGATTTGTCCATAAGGCAATGAAATAATGGAAAGTTCATCAGAAAACTCGCTCAAGATTCATTTAACTAATGTTGACAGGGTAAGTGTTAAATGCACTGTATTAGTAACATCTTACTAGTTACTGACGTCTTACTAGTTACTAACATCTTACTAGTTACTAACATCTTACTAGTTACTAACATCTTATTTGTTACTAACACCTTATTTGTCAAATTCTGCTCGTTAGTCAAGGACAACAAAAAGAGAAGACATTTTTGTCTATGTATATTATTCATCGCTCTTGGATGCTTTTGAGTTTTAATCTGTATCTTGTGTGAAATTTGTAGACCCTTTAGTTAAATGCAGTGTAGTATTACCTGCTTGTATACACTGACAATGCTGGAAATAAATATTTCCTCATAAACCTCCAATAATACTCGGAC